GACGCTGAGAAATTACACGGTGAGAAAGTTAACTTTAATAAATATATATTTTATGTCCAATTCTTTTAACTTCTTTGTGTATTTACTTTTTTATATAATTTTTTCAAAGTAAAATTCGTGATTCTGTTGTCGCCTCACTCCATTTCAGATTTCATATACAGTACTACTAGCATACTTTACTTTTTATCAAGGATATATCATCTTTTATAAATATTTATATGTGTCCGAAAAAGATTTTCTATATATAATAATTACTTTAAATTTCAATTCGTATTTATCAAATTAGCAAAGCAAATGTGCAGTTGAGCTTGAGAAGAGCAATGGCGTCAGTGAAGACTTGGAGGAGAAGACTAAAAATCGAGAGCATTTGCAAGAGGAAAGAAAAATGAATTTGGAAATGGAAGTCTCAATCACATTAGCTCAACTACAGTGTATATATACAATACAAAAGCAAAAGAGAATAAGAAGCATAATTAACGGAACCCAAACCCCAACTAACTGACTAACTAACTTTAGGAAGTCTAACTAACTCAACTAACTACCTAACCGCTTGGTACTACTCGTAATGCTATAAGTACAACTACCCTAAACAAATATAAATAATGCAATACAGTCTCTGTATCCTAATGATCTCAATACCCCCCTCAAGTTGGAGGTGAAGTTGTCACTGCCAACTTGCTGAGAATATTGGAATGTTTGATCCCAGTTAGTGCTTTAGTGAGAATGTCGGCAAGTTGATGATCAGGCCTAATATGTGAAAGTACAAGAGGTGGGGGGGGGGGGGGGATGAATTGTTTATTTTTTCTAAACTTAATCGCTGTTAGTTGACTATTTTTTCAATTAGTCGACTAGATGTAATAGACTAGCAGTAGTAATAACAGAATATAAGATGCTGAAATTAAATATAGGAATTAAAGACACCAGAATTTTTATACTGGTTCGGATTCAATGTGAATCCTAGTCCAGTCCCCTTGGGTTGCAAGGGAGTTCTCTTTAGTGAATGAGTTTCTTCGAGTACAAGGAGAATAATGTGATAGCTCAGTTCCTATATCACTCGTCTCTTTTGATACAATGTCTCACCAGTGTTGTTCTATCTTTTTTTCTCTAACTTGTTACACAGCAGGTCTTACAGAGCTACAATGTTTGTTTGTTGTAGAACAAAGAGAGGGTATTTGGTTCGACAAAAGTATGTTTTGCTAAGGTGTGATTACAGGTTTAAATACTTTGAGAGAGGCTTGAATTCTGGAAAGATTTGCCAACCCAAGAGATTTGATCCTTGGAAAGAGATTGATTCTTTCCAAGAAATGTTCTGCAACAGCCCGAAATCTTGATCCTCCATAATTAGACACTTGATTGAATTTTCGGGGAGATCTTGATTTATTTGTTTCCATTAGTTAAGCCTTGATTGATCCCGTCAGTATCTTTATGATTGATTGCTTCTTCCTTTAATCGCGCCTCATTTCCTTCTGATTGATTTCGCCAATCTTGACAGCTACCCAAGAGTTCCTACTACAAAGAGCAAATATATTATTTACATCATTAAATTTGATCTAACAATCTCCCCTTTTTTGATGATGACAAAATAATATATGTATAAACATCAGTTGAATTCCCTGTAGTTTGCTCCCCCTCAATACGAGCAGTTAGCTGGAGGCGCATGTAGTGGACTTCTTCAGGAAAACTTGCTCCCAGTTGGAGGCACATGTAGTTGACTTCTTCAGGATAACTTGCTCCCCCTCAATAGGAGCAGAACCTGAAAACTTGCTCCCCCTCAATAGGAGCAGAGCCTCTCCCTCAATAGGAGTAGAACCTGCACAGAATACATATATCCTTTCTCCCCCTTTTTGACATCAGCAAAGAGGGAATAACAAAACAACATGCACAAACATAATCCATAGCAGAATGTTCAGGTAGAGTTAGAACATAACAAAAACAAAAAATATCCACCGACTGACATCGCAGTTCAAAAGCAGCACAGCAAAAAAAAATTGTCTTAAACTTCCACACTAACGACGCAGAAAATAAGTAAGAGTGTTGCAGACGGCCTCCTTTAGTCGATCAAATCTGGTGTTGGCTGAGACACTTATTCCATCAAGCCTGTCATGAACCTCCTTGAAAGCGTTGACAACGTTTTTCCTTACTCTGAGAACTGCAACACGTATCTTGGAGACATCAGACCCTGTTTCCTTGGAGATATCATGAATGGTGCCGATAGTGGACTGGGTGGCAATGAGAAGATCCTTGATTGTAGAGAGTTGATTCCCAATGGAGCTAATTTTCTGAGCAAGGTCAGAGTCACTGAGGCTAGGATAGGAAGCAGAAGGTCTGGGCTTGGAGTCTGTATGAGCAGTCTTGACATCACATTCTTGTTTCTTTACCCATGAGCCCTTCACACACACATACCCCATACTTGCAAAGGCTCTGGAGTAGTATGATTTTGAAACAGTGGTAAAGGAGTACGCAGAGATGGAAATATTGTGAGCCTCCAGAATGTGGGTGATGGCCATTCCATAGGGTAGACTAGTGGGATCTTCTGCACTTTCAATCATGAAATTGATGACCCAGGAGGACAGTTTGATTTTGAGTTTGGTCACAAGGCAATAGACCAGAAAAGTGTCTCGTAGAGAGAAGGTGGAAAAGTAGCTGGTACGAGGAAGCAGAGTAGTTGCCACAATGTGGGCTAGAACACAAGTTTCAAAACTAACATCACTAGGGCCAAGCTGGTTTGGAAGGGACTTAGATGGACACTTAGCAATATATTTTTTGGCTTGATCAAAAGAAATTTCAAAATCATCGGGCCAGGAATTTTTAAAGAGCATAGGGAAACCAGAACACTTGCACTGAAATATTGAATCAAACACGGAACAGTCCAGAACAATACGCTTTCCTAGTACTAAGGTCTCCAACTTATCAGACCTACTAGAACGAAGATTTGCATAGAACATTCTCACTAAGGGTTGATAGACTTTAGGCGGAGGAACAGAAAAGAACTTGGACCACCCCTGAAAAACGAAAAGGTCCTTTTACCTTACAATTTAGGGCTTCCATGTCATCAAGGTCGACTACCCTCCCACGAACAATAGGCTTGTCTTTTAGGGCAAGAAAGAAGTCTCTATTAGGAGAATCCCAATTATTGAGTTCTGACTCAAGAGAACTGGAAAGGTCAATTTTTTATTTCTTTGGAGTGGAGGAGACATGGGGTTCTTCCATGGGTCTTCTACCCAGGGATTTTTCGCCTAAGGGTTGAGAATGATCAGAGAAATCCGCCTGAGAAGAGGCAAACCCCTCAGAGTGATCGGACCCTAGGTCTACCTGTTTAGGGGGCTGAGAAGAGGGTTTTCCCTTGAAGCGGGTGCTCTTTCTAGTGGAGGCAGAGGGATTTTTGGATTGTTTAGCCATTGTAGGAGATTGGTGGTTTAGCACGATTTCAGAGAGCGGTATGAAGGCGATAGACACAATGGAGATTGATACAAGAAGACAACATAAAAAGGGGTTTTCTGACGGTTGAGTAGAGAAAAGGAAAAGGCGTCAGTGATCAGTCGCGATGATTGGTTTTCCTTCTCTGAACTCTGTGATTGATTTGAAAAGAGAAAGAAAAAAGAGGGAAAAACGGAGGCGTAATTAAAGAGTAAAAGAAACATATATGGACTATTTTATATACAAAATTTAAAAACTACCACATAGGTCCTATATTTAACTATTAATGCAAATAATGCCAAGGAGTTTTCTTAATGAACAAAATCTTTCTTCTAACAAAGGCTTGGTAAAGATATCAGCTAGTTGATCAGTTGTTCCAACAAAAGTTATTTCAATATTTCCTTTAAGAACATGATCTCTAATGAAGTGATGCTTAATATCTATATGTTTTGCCCTAGAATGATGAACGAGATTTTTAGAGAGACAAATAACACTTGAATTATCACAAAAATTTGTATAGGTTTAAAAGAAAGTTCATAGTCACCAAGTTGATGGGACATCCATAGTAGTTGTGCACAACATTGTCCAATAGCAATGTATTCAGCTTCAGTGGTAGATAACGCAACTGATGCTTGTTTTTTACTGTTCCACAATATCAATGCCTTCCCCAGTAATTGACACGTACCACTTTTGCTTTTTCTATCTCCCTTATCACCTGCAAGATCGGCATATGAAATACCTTCTAATTTAAAAGAGTTGGAGCGAGGATACCATAGTCCATGAGAAACAGTTCCAATGAGATAGTGAATGATTCTCTTTACTGTAGTCAGAGGTGACTCCTTAAGAGCTGACTGAAACCTGGCACATTTACAGACACTGAACAAAATATCCGGTCGACCTGCAGTTAGATAAAGCAGTGAGCCAATCATTCCACCATACTTAGTTTCATCAACAGGGATTCCCTGTTCATCTTTGTCCAGACTCATTGTAGGACTCATTGGTGTGCCAATGGCTTTAGCATTGCTCATGCCAAATTTTTGAATCAGTTCCTTTGTGTATTTGGTTTGACATATAAATGTTCCTTCTTCAAATTGTTGGATTTGAAGTCCAAGAAAAAATGTTAGCTCTCCCAGCATGCTCATTTCGAATTCACTTTGCATAAGATTTGAAAATTCCTTGCACATAAGAGGGTTAGCACTACCAAATAAAATATCATCAATATAAATCTGAATAATGAGATTACCTTCTGGTGATCTTTTAATAAATAGGGTAGTGTCTACTTTTCCTCTTGTAAAGCCATTATCAATAAGAAATGAACTAAGTCTATCATACCATTCTCGTGGAGCTTGTTTTAGTCCATACAGTGCTTTGGTGAGCTTATAAACATGGTAGGGAAACTTTGAGTTCACAAATCCAGGAGGTTGCTTCACGTGTACTTCTTCCTCGATAAATCCATTCAAGAAAGAACTTTTGATGTCCATTTGAAACACCCTAAATCCCTTAAATGATGCATATGCCAGAAGAATTCGTATAGATTCCAGACGAGCTACTGGAGCGAACGTTTCGTCATAGTCAACTCCTTCCTATTGTGAATAACCCTGAGCAACTAATCTGGCTTTGTTTCTTACCACTTTTGCATCCTCGTTCAATTTATTTCTGAAGACCCACTTTGTTCTAATTACAGAAATATTTTCAGGTTTGGGTATCAGTTTCCAAACTTGATTTTTTCCAAATTGATCTAACTCTTCCTGCATTGTTTGTACCCAACTTGAGTCTTTTAGAGCTTCCTCTATCTTCTTTGGTTCAATCTGAGAGATTAATGCTATGTTTGATTTCTTTTTGAGAGCTCCCCTGGTTTTCATTCCTTTATTTGGGTCCCCTATGATGAATTTTTGAGGATACTCAGGTTCGCTTCTCCATTCATTTGGACGAACAACATTAGTAGTCGACTCCTTCGGATGATCTGGTACACTGCTGCTGACTTCATTAGTTGACTCTATCGTAGCATCAGGTTTATCAGTTGACTCTTGAGATTTGCTTGTCTCCTGAATTTCTTGAGCTTGATCTTCATCACCTGCAGTAATTCCTTTCTCGACCGAGGGGTTATTTTCATCGAATATAGCATGTACAGATTCTTCAACACATAATGTGCGTTTATTATATACTCTAAAGGATCTACTATTTAATGAGTAGCGTAGAAAAATACCTTCATCACTTCTTGGATCGAATTTTCCAAGATTGTCCTTACCGTTATTGTGAATAAAACACTTACTTCCGAAGGGATGAAAGTAACTAATATTAGGACATTTACCTTTCCATAATTCATAAGGAGTCTTCTTCAGAATGGGCCTTATGAGACATCGATTGAGAATGTGACATGTTGTACTTACACCTTCTGCCTAGAAGTGATTTGGCAGTGAATGATCTAGTAACATGGTTCTTGCCATGTCTTGGAGGGTTCTATTTTTCCTTTCAACAACTCTATTTTGCTGAGGTGATCGTGGTGCAGAGAAGTTATGAGTATATCCCTGATCATTACGGAAGTCTTCAAATGCTCTGCTTTCAAATTCTCCTCCATGATCACTCTAGATTGTTGTAATCAAATATCCCTTTTCTCTTTCAACCTTTTTGCAGAAGATCTCAAAAATTTTCAATGCTTCATCTTTATGAGATAAGAAAATCACCCAAGTGAAACGTGAATAATCATCAACAATAACAAAAGCATATCTTTTTCCTCCTATACTAGCAGTTCTAGTAGGCCCAAATAAGTCCATATGAAGCAATTGCAAAGGTTTAGAAGTAGATACAATATCTTTATTTTTGAAAGAGTTTCTGGTTTGTTTTCCTATTTGACAAGCATCACAGATATGTGTTCTAGAAAAATTCAGTTTGGGTAGACCAACAACTAACTCGTGCTTGGACAATTTTTCTATCAAATGCATGCTTGCATGACTAAGTTTCCTATGCCATAACCATGGATCATCAGACAGATGTTAAGCAAATGTGACCATCTATCTTTTCAAAACCATCAAGAATATAAACATTTCCATACCTTTTACCTAGGAGGACTATTTTACCTGCCTCATCTTCAATAGCACAGCCTGTTTTGTTAAAATTTACCTCATATCCTGAGTCGCATAGTTGACTTATGCTCAGAAGATTGTAGTTGAGTCCACCAACGAGATAAACTTCAGTGATATCACAATTGTATTTGAAGGGAATTGTTCTAGTACCAATTATCTTTCCTTTTGAGTCATCCCCAAACTTAACACTTCCTCCGTCAATTTTATAACTTCTTTGAACAGGTTTTTATCACCTGTCATGTGACTGGAACCCGCACTGTCTAGGTACCATTTTCCTTTGCAACTTACTCTCTGTTGTTCCTGCAAAACATAGTGATTACTTTTTTTTAGGTACCCAAGCTTGATTGGGTCCTGGGGGGTTAGTATTACTAGATTCAGAATTATTTTTTGGTTTCCAAACCCATCCTGAAACATTTGCTTTACGAAAGCAGCAAAAGGAATATTTGTGTCCACTTTTGTTGCAGTAGTGACACGTAACTCCTGACCCATTTTTAGGTCTTTCATTGGTGTTAGTACTAGTGGATCTTGTTCTAACTGGTCCTTTTCCAGTTGACTTGTAAGTCGCCTGGTTTGATCTGACAGAACTATGATTGGTGGATTTGCGCATGCCATTGAGTTGCATTTGCAATTCCTCAAGCTCTTCTTGAAGTACTTCCTTTTCAATTTCACATACTTCATGTTTGAGCTTCCAGTCTTTTACTTCTTTATTTAGTCTCTTGAGTTCATTCATCATTTTTTGAGACTCTTTCAATGTTAAATCAAGAATATCCTGCAATTCATTGCATCTTTCACAGTTATAAGATCTTACCTTGCTTGTTTCACCTCGTTCCATGAAACAGTTCTCATTGTTATCTTTGCATTCGTCATCTGAAATGTCCTCGTCCGTACAGTATCCTGAGGATTTGTTCATCTCGTTTTCCAGAATCGTCATGAAGCAAAGATTAGCTATCTCCTCGTGTTCTGAACTGTCTTCATCGCTCCAACTTCCAAAAGATTTGTTCTTGTTAAAGCCTCTGGAAATTTTTCTTTTTAGATTTGGGCACTCAGCCTAAATGTGTCCAAATCTTCTACACTCATAGCATTTTCCATCATTCTTGTCTTGTTCGTTGTATTGCCTGGATCGCCTAGGTGGGATTCTTCCTCTTCTCGTATTCCTGAATCTTCTCATTAAACCATCCATGTTTCTTGACAGCATAGCAATTTCTTCTTGAAGGGCTTCAAGATCAACATTGATGTCATTTTCAGCTACTTCAGTTGAGGCCTTGAATGCGACTGTTTTCTTTTTTTCTTCTTGATTAGTCTTCTTGAGATGTGTCTTTTCAAAGGCTATGAGTTGTCCCCGTGGTTCATCATAGGATAACTTATTTAGATCCTGAGATTCAAGTGTGACTACTTTGGTCTGCCACGTAGTTGGTAGGCTTCTGAGAATCTTTCTAACTTGATCACCACTCGTATATGGTTTGCCGAAGGCTTTTAGATCGCTAATTATTTTGCTGAATCTGGCAAACATCTCTTCAATAGACTCTCCTTCTTTCATTGAAAAGAGTTCATAGTCATGAACCAACATGTTGATATGTGTTTCTTTTACCTTGCTGGTTCCTTCGTATGTAACTTTAAGCTTATCCCACATCTCTTTGGATGTGTCACAGCTAGAGATTTTCTCATGCTCCTTACCACTTATGGCATTATAAAGCAGGTTTCTTGCTTTATTGTTAACTTGTACCACTTCCATCTGCTCTTTTGTATATGAATCTATATCTTCAGGATCAGTAAGTGGTTGTGCGACAGCTGGCAGGGGATAATTCCCCCTTTTGATTACTCTCCAAACTTTAACGTCATATGCCTTGGCATATATCTCCATACGCACTTTCCAGTGGGAGAAATGTTGTCCATTGAAGTATGGTGACCTAACTTGTGAAGTTCCTTCCTGGAAGAGAGCTCCTATGATAACTTGATTTGCCATGATCTTTTCTCATAAGCTGTTAAGTAAAAGAAAAATGTGAGCCTTGCTCTGATACCAATTGAAAGTACAAGAGGGGGGAGGGGTTGAATTTTTTTTTTTAAAACTTAATCGTTGTTAGTTGACTAGTTTTTCAATTAGTCGACTAGATGTAATAGACTAGCAGTAGTAACAACAGAATATAAGATGCTGAAATTAAATGCAGGAATTAAAGACACCAGAATTTTTATACTGGTTCGGATTCAATGTGAATCCTAGTCCAGTCCCCTTGAGTTGCAAGGGAGTTCTCTTTAGTGAATGAGTTTCTTCGAGTACAAGGAGAATGATGTAATAGCTCAGTTCCTATATCACTCATCTCTTTTGATACAATGCCTCACCAGTGTTGTCCTCTCTTTTTTTCTCTAACTTGTTACACAGCAGGTCTTAGAGAGCTACAATGTTTGTTTGTAGTAGAACAAAGAGGGGGTATTTGGTTCGATCAAAGTATGTTTTGCTAAGGTGTGATTACAGGTTTAAATACTTTGAGAGAGGCTTGAATTCTGGAAAGATTTGCTAACCCAAGAGATTTGATCCTTGGAAAGAGATTGGTTCTTTTCAAGAATAAGGATGTTTTGCAACGGCCCGAAATCTTGATCCTCCATAATTAGACACTTGATTGAATATTCAGCGAGATCTTGATTTATTTGTTTCCTTTAGTTAAGCCTTCATTGATCCCGTCAGTATCTTCATGATTGATTGCTTCTTCCTTTAATCGCGCCTCTTTTCCTTCTAATTGATTTCGCCAATCTCGGCAGCTACCCAAGAGTTCCTATGCAAAAAGCAAATATATTATTTTCATCATTAAAATATGATCTAACAATATGATGTAGAAAGATGAGCCCTTCCTGTAGTTTGTTTCGAACAAAATGGCAGTATACCTCAATGTGTTTCGTTCGTTCATGGAACACTGGGTTCCTTGCTATGTGAAGTGCTGATTGACTGTCACAGAAGACTGCAATAGGACTGGATAAAGAGATCGTGAGCTCTTCAAGTAGCCTTTGTAACCACACTAGCTCACCAACCACCTTTCTAATGGACCTGTACTCTGCTTCAGCTGACGACAAGGAAATAGTTTCTCGTTTCTTTGATTTCCAGCTGATAGGGCTATCTCCCAGTAGAACAACATACCCAGTCACTGACTTCCTGGAGTCTGGGCATGATGCCCAATCAGAATCACAGTATGCTCTCACTGTATAATCATCATTCTTGGAGAAGAAGACTTCTAGGCTAGGGTCAGCTTTCAAGTACCTCAATAGGTGATATGCTGCCTTCAAGTGTGGTTCCCTTGGATCTTGCATGAACTGTCTTAGATGTTGAACACTAAAAGCAATGTCTAATCTTGTGTTAGTCAGAAAATTCAATTTCCCAACCAATTTTCTATAACAGCTGGGAACTGACAAATGAGCACCTTCATTTGCTTTTAACTTCACATTTGGATCAAGGGGAGATGATAAGGAACTACAACTGAGACAATTATACTCTTTCAAAAGGTCAATGACAAATTTTCTTTGGGAAATGATGACCTCATCATCCTTATAAAGAATTTCAAGGCCAAGGAAATACTGAAGTCTTCCTAGATCTTTGATTTTGAAGCTATCATGTAAAAATTTCTTCAAAAGCTTTATTTCTTCAAGATCTGTTCCTGTGAGTATCACATCATCAACATATATTGCTACATATACAAAGGATGTACCATTCTTCTTGTATAACAATGAATAATCATGCATGGATTGTTCATAACCTTTTGAGCACAGTGCTTCTATCAATTTTGCATACCATTGTATGTTGGCTTGTTTCAAGCCAAATAGAGACTTGTATAGTCTAAAGACTAGTCTTGGTTCAGATACTACTTGTCTAGGAGGGACCTCCATAAACACTTCTTCATTCAAATCTCCATCAAGGAAAGCATTATTTACATCTAGCTTAAACATGTTCCACCCTCTTTTGACTGCTACAGCTATGAGTCCTCTCACAGTGGTCATCTTTACCACTAGTGAGAAGGTTTCTGTGTAGTCTATTCCCTCTTGTTGTGTGTATCCTTTTACCACCAAACGAGCCTTAACTCTATCAATACTTTCATCAGCTTTATGCTTTACTTTATACACCCATGCAGCCTATGGCTTTCTTCCCTGCTGGTAGTGGGACTAAATCCCATGTGTTATTGGCATGTAATGCCTCAAACTCTTGTGTCATAGCCATATGCCAAGCAGCATTGATAGCTGCTTCTTCATATGAAGAAGGTTCATTATCTTAACAGACACTTTGCATCAAAGATTGACTATCATGGAATAGAACTTCAGGGGAAACAGAATTATGGTTTGACAACAATGCATTTAAAGATGGTATACAACTACTTGAATGCAATTTAGGTACATTGTGAATGTAATCATTCAAGTATGCAGGTGTTTTGATTTCTCTTTGGGTTCTCCTAAGTTTGGGACCATCCTGATTACTTGTTTGGGGAGAGTGATTACTCAAAGCTAGTTCATTAAGATTTGATGCTGGAGATGACTCTATGTGATTGTTTTGAGGTGATGTGGATGTGATGCTAGTAGGTTATATTGCATTGTTACTAACAGGTTACAGTTCATTGTCCATGTGACTTGCACCATCTAGATTGCTTTCTATATTGGTTTGAACATTATTATCGGTATCATCCACAAAGTCAACAAAGGGGACACATTTTAGTATAGAAGGAAAAGAAGAAACATCTGGAACAATTGCAAAGGGAAAGATATTTTCATGTAAAGATACATCTCTTGAGATTTGAATCTTCTTGGTAGCAAGACTCAGGACTTTGTACCCTTTGACCCCAAAGGAATAGCCTATGAAAATATGTGGAGTAGCCCTAGGTTCAAACTTGTCCCTGTGGACTTTAGGTACTGTTTGATAACACAGGAAACCAAAACTTCTCATTTGAGAATACAGTGGTTTCTTTTTGTATAGAATTTCAAAAGGGCATCTGTTTTTAAGGTATGTAGTGGGTAGTCTTGTTTATGATGTAGGTTGTTGTTAGCACACATTCTCCCCAGTATTTCAAAGGCAGTTTTGACTGGAATAAGAGTGCCCTAGCTGTTTCAAGCAAATACTTATGTTTTCTCTCTACCACACTATTCTGTTGTGGTGTGTAAGGGCAGGATTTTTGGTGAATGATCCCTTTTGACTGAAAAAGGTGTTACTTTCTGTGTTGGTAAACTCTAAACCATTGTTCTTATGATTTTTATGGTAGTTTTGAACTGGTTTTCTATCATTGAAATAAAGACTTTAATGACTTGAATTGCATTGCACTTGCAAGCTAAAAGATGTGTCCGTGTAGTTTTGCTGAAATCATCAACTATAGTGAGGAAATACTTGTAGTTATTGTCACACCTACTTTTTTACCCAAATGGGATATAAGGAAATTTTTTCAATTTAAGTGACAATCAAAACGGGATTATTTATATCAAATTCAGAGTCGCCACTTGGGATAATTTATGGTGTCCCAAGTCACCGGTTTAAAATCCCGAATCGAGAAAGTTTGACTCTGTTTTGCAGTCCGCGAAACACAAAAATCCAGGTAAGGTATTCTGTTAACCTAGGAGAAGGTGTTAGGCATTCCCGGTTCCGTGGTTTTAGCACGGTCGCTTTAATCATATACCTGGCTTATTAAATTGTTTAACTACATGTTTTAGAACCTATGTGCATTTCACCTCTTTTAATTAAGAAATTATCCTAAAACGAGTCATGCGTACGTGTACTAATTTGTTTGGCGCGTCAAGAATCATGTCACGCGTACGTATCCACAATTAATAACGTTTTATTAATATTAAGAAAGTTTAGTTGAAGTTGCGCGAATGCATACTTCGATTTTGTTTTTAAGATCGTAATTATGCCACGCGAACGTGTACACAATCACAATGATATATTAAATCTCGCCTACAACAAATTACGAATATTCATGCTTACTTCTTAAAACTAATTCGCAATTTGATGTAAGGCTACTAATTATAAATGCATTGGGTAGATATGTTGAACTTTAATTATTTTGGAAAAGATTGGACCAGCACTAAGCCCACTACGTTATCTAGAGAAAAAACCATTAAGGAAAATATTACTGATGCTGTTTGAGCTCGCAATTAAGCCCAGGAGAGGAAAAAAGGGCCCAGAGACTATGCCAGGCCTGGTTTCGACCAGGCTGTCTCATTTTTGGGCTGAAGCCAGGCCCAACAATTTAACAAATAAGCCATTAACGTACTAAAGACCTAACTGAAGCCAATCTTCTTCAAACGCAGAGATGACAAAACAGTTTATTAAATTCTAAAGATCAAATATGCTGAATAACCATGTTATGGACTTTAACTCATTAACACGCCATTAGCAATACAATATTAGCTTAAACTACCTTAAACTACTAATTAATCAGATTAAAATCAGACATGTAATCACTTCAACCATAACTGAAATTCTAGGAAACAATCTGGATATCACTTAGCGTTAAATACTGAATTTCTTTTGAATGTGGATGAACTTGGACATCAAAACCCAAATGAAGTACCGTGACCAGCATAATAACCTATACCCTTTAACAAATAAACAAGAACAAGCTAATAACAACATCAATCAACCCGAACTCTTGAACAACACACGAAAAAGCTAAACCATTTTGAGCATTCAAACATGAGAGCCCTACTAAATTATTGACTAACAACAGATCCAGCATATTTAGTTCAGAAGAAGAAATTAAAAGAAGAAATTAAAAGGTCAAATGACTTGTAAGAACATATACAAAACTGAAATTCAACATTCGAATATTAACTTCAAATCATAAGTACATCCTCCAAAACATGTTTGCACTCCACTTGTCATTCAAAGTTCAAGGGTTACCTGAAGACAAATAGTGAATGAGTTAAGAAAAATATTCTTTTGGAATCAGTGAGTGATAGCAAGAAAACAGTGGAATCAGCAGCAAAGAACAACAGTAAAAATCAAACACAGCTTCACTGTCAAGCCATATCTCAACTCAAGAACCTAGAAAATCAAAAGAGATGTTTTTCAAACTTTGTAAAGAGTCAGGAAATAGAAAAGCTGAGAACTGGATTTTTTTAGAGGATTTTCAGCTCTGTTCCCTCTCTCCAAATGAAAGAGAAAAGGTCCTTTTAAATAGGTCCTAAATGTGTCATGTGCCTAAAGAATAAAAGAATCATTCCCTCCAGCTAACCCCTAGATTTCAGGGAGAAAAGGCATCTTTCATAACTGCCTATGGACAACTGTTGGACAACTGTCCATTCCAGATATTTCACATGTTTTCTACATTATTCTGGACAGCCAGTACACTTTCTAGAACCTTCCTCTTGGGTCTGAGCCAAATGTCATGGCCAAATGGCCCAAGACTGGCCCAAATCCAGCACCAACCCCAGGCCTTGACTGATCAATCCTTCTTTGGCCAAACCAGAACCAAACATCAAAGCAAAAACGGTACAAATTACCCAATAAATCATTTGAACTTCTGAAGTTAATTAGTACCCAATCAACTAACAACTAAATCCATTTAAATAGCAATAAATCTAAGAGGTATGCAAATCAAGCCTAACTAGTTAAACTTATTTTAAATTATCCTAAAACATATTGTAATTAACTAAGGCAATTAGCCATTAACCTAAACATGCTGACAATGAAAATAAGCACAGAAAAATTCAAGATTCAAAGGTACTAAATAATAGGTAAAAAGAAAAGAAAAGAAATGAAAAGAAAGAAAAAGTATGAAAGAAAATGCAATAGTAAGGCTATACCAGAATCGAAGAAAATCGGACCAAGGAAGATCCCATGAGGCTGGCCGGACTTTGGTTACTCCGAAATGGGTTAAAGTTGATTCAAAACGATTTCTCTTGTCAAAGCAATCGATTTGCATGAACTTTAAACCAATCGGACAGACGCTCCCATAAAAGTCAAGAACCAGATTTTCTTGATTCTTGGATCTGGAATTCGGGGAGTTTGGGGAATTACTTGGGGAAAACAGTAAGGGATTTGGGGTTAATGGGGTGTGGAGGTTACAGGGCAGGAATTTTGGGGGGGTTTGGAGATCGGTCGCTGCCGTGAGACGATTTCAAGTGGGCGGCGGCTAGGGTTTGTGTGGGTTGAGATGGAGAGGATTTGACGGCGGCTAGGTTTAGATGAAGAGAGACGGTGTGGGAACTGGGGGGATCTCTAGGGTTTGGGGGGTGTTAGGACATATATATGGGGTGGGGTGTTGAGTTCCCAACCATTAGATCAATGGTGATCAACGGCTGGGATTGATGGACGCCAAACGACGTCGTTTTGTTAAATGGGGAGGCTGGACCGGGTGAAAGGATTTGGGCTTGGCGGATTGGGAAGGGGAATTGGGCTTCTGAGACCAAATGTGGCCCAATTTCCAAATTAAAACAAAGCCTGCCTATTTTCTTTCTCTCTCTTTTTTTGATTTTTCATTTTTCATGATTTAAACTTAATCAATTAACTAAAAATCCTAAACTAAAGACCTAATTTATAAAAATAAATTAATTGCTTATTTTTAACATAACAATGATTAATTAACTTAGAGTTAAAGAAAGGAAACTACTAATTTGTAACTAAAGCTTAAAAATGTAAAAATGACCAATATTTTGATTTTTGTCTATTAATTCAATTAATTAACAACTTAAACCTAAAATGCAAATATCAACCTAAAAACATAATGCATGAAACTTGAATATTTTTTTGGATATTTTCTATGCTTATAATATATGCAAAATGCGACTAAAATACAAGAAATTAAGCAGATATTCCTAAAAATTATACAAAAATAAAAATAAACTAGAAAAATCTATCTTTTGTGATTTTATAGGAGTATTTTGGTCGGGCAAAAATCACGTGCTCACAGCTGCCCCTCTTTGCTCGGAAACACGAAGAGTTTTCGGGCAAAGATAAAGTGAGCGAGTACGAGCGATTTTTGCCAATTTGGATACTCCATGGGAAGCATGTTTGAAAA